CCTCGGCTCGGGCCATCTTGTGCCCTCCGGGTAGCATTCCAGCCGACGCTCGCTGAGTGGCCCTCACCCAAGACTTATTATCCTCGGTGCGGGGCCGGTGACCGCAGTCAAGAGTTGGTGGTGTGGGTTGGTATCCAATCAAGTTCAGTTTTGTGTCTGTCGGTGCGGAGTTGTGAAGGGTCGCTGTGTCACGCGCCCACCGAATGAGTGCGGAGTCGAGAAAGGTGGGCGGGCTTGCCTCCTCCTCCTCCCGTGGGCTTGAGGCTCAGGGTGTGGGTATTTCCAGGTGCCCATGTCGGTGTGTAATTCATATCGTGTCACAGTGCAAAGGGGGGGAGGGGACATGACCTTGCCAAGCTAGATACGTTCTCATCAAGTGCTCGTCGGGATGCAGGGTTACTTATTGAGACGTTTTGCTCATTCTCGGACGTCGAGGAGTGCAAAAAATAAAAAAAAATAGAAAGGAGGAGAGAGAGAAAGATAAAAAGAAAATTGAAAACCAAAAGACAAACGATAAAAAAAGGAAAAAAAAAATACATTACGAGTGCCTGGAAAATTTAACGAGGGACGGAGAGTGATCTGAACACGAGCTTTAATCGAGCAAGATATGTGGGAGGGGGGAGGGAGGGAGAGGGGGAGACAGAGAAGGAGAAGGAGGAAGGGAGGGAGGGGGGGGGGTGAACACGTGGAAATCTGCGAATGAGTGTTGTGGTGTAGTAAAGTGTAATAAGAGTGTAGTGAACTCGTCTCCCACGCCGAGTGTTCACGCGTCCTCCTCTCGCTATGAACACGGAAGGAATGTTCTACACCCGGAGTCGAAGCAAAGGAAAAATTTTAATTGTCTCGCGCTGTCAACGACTCGGTAGGTATTCCTAACTACACTCCCATGCTCAGGAAGAGTCACGGGGAGAGAGAGAGAGAGAGAGAGAGAGAGAGAGAGAGAGAGAGAGAGAGAGAGAGAGAGAGAGAGAGAGAGAGAGAGAGAGAGAGAGAGAGAGAGAGAATATTGAAGAAGATATTGAAAGAAAACCAAATATGAGAACAAGATATAAAAGTGAATTGATAGATATAGAGGTGGAGAAATATATACATACATACATATATATATATATATATATATATATATATATATATATATATATATATATATATATATATATTGAGAGAGTGAGAGAGAGATAAAGAGAGGGACTGATTAATAGACAAACAGACAGACAGACAGACAGATAGACAGACAGTCAGTCAGTCACTCAGTCAGTGAAAGAGAAAAAAAATAGTTTGATAGAGCAAACAAACAAAACGAGGGAAAGAGAGAGAGAAAGAAAAACGGAAAGAACCTGGTTGAATATAGGGGAATACGCAGTGACCCCGAATGTTGACCCTTGCAACCTTTGCAACAAACAGCACATGCTTTATGGGATTCGAGGAGGGGTGGAGGGGGAAGAGGGAGGGGGGGAGAGGGGAAAGAGGGGGAGAGAGGAAGAGAGGAAGGAGGGGGGAAGGGGGGGGAGAGAGAATGGGGAAAGGGGAAGGAAGGGGAGAGGAGGAGGAGGGAGAGAGAGGAAGGAGGGGAAAGGGGAAGAGGGGAGAGGGAAAGGGGGAGAGGGGGAGGAGGCGAAGTGGGAGGTGGAGGATTGGGATGAGGGAGAAGAGGGGGGATAGGGGGAGTAGGCGAGAAGAGGGAGGAAATAGGAAGGGGAAGAGGGAGGAAGAGGGGGAGGTGGAAGTAGGAAGGGCATCCGTCCGCCTCTTTGTGTTTCCATTGTTGTTTTGTTTCGTTTGTTTCTTTGTTGTTGTTGTTGTTGTTTGCATTCTTTATTGTTTTTTATTCTTTGTTTGTCTTTTATCTACTATTTTTCTCCTTTCATAATTATATGAAACATCTTTGCATGATTTTCCATCTATACGAAAATAATATCTCCATAAACGTGGTATAATTTAATTACTGAGAGAGAGAGAGAGAGAGAGAAAGAAAGAAAAAAAAGAGAGAGAAAAAGTGAAAGGAAAAATGAAAGAAAGAGAGAGAGAGAGAGAGAGAGAGAGAGAGAGAGAGAGAGAGAGAGAGAGAGAGAGAGAGAGAGAGAGAGAGAGAGAGAGAGAGAGAAAAAAGAAAGAAAAAGAGAAAGAACAAAAGAAAGAATGAAAGAAAGAATGAAAGAAAGAATGAAAGAAAGAAAGAGAGAGAGAGAGAGAGAGAGAGAGAGAGAGAGAGAGAGAGAGAGAGAGAGAGAGAGAGAGAGAGAGAGAGAGAGAACTATGCGTTCATACCGGCATTTATCTGCCCTTCCCTCTCCTTTATTCTCTCTCCTTTGTTTTCGTTTCATCTCCCATGAAAAGAAAAAAAGAAAAAAAGTTTTTTTTCTTCATCATCTTTAGTATGGAGAATTGCGCCATCTTGCTGGACTAAGTTCTTTTTTAACGTATTTGCATTTGAGTGTGTTTGCTTGCGATGTGTTTGTGTGTTTGTTTTGCTTGCTTGTTTGTTTGCTTTTTTGCGTTT